TGAAAATGTTTTATGCACTCACTAACTGTAAGTCGCTCTGGATAAGAGCGTCTGCTAAATGACTAAAATGTAATCCAAGGAGATGGTATCGGAAAGAGAGTGTGTATGTGGTGCATGTGGGAGATTTGATCTGCGTGGCAGAGTGAGTCTCCGTCCCACACACTGAGCGTGATGCAGTGATACAACACCCTTTTCCATCTCCACTGATCTTCCCTTTTTTTGTTGATAATTTCGCTTCACTGTCATGAGGAGAGCTCGCAAGTAAGCATTTCATTGTACCGTTTACACCCCGCTGTTTCCTGTGAATATGACGAATAAACACTCGTTTGATTTGAGCCAAAACTGCAACAGGTTTTTGGGAAAGCCTTTCTATCTACCCGAAGACGGTTAGCATTAGCATCACTAACGGCTACACAAAGTGGTAGACACACAGACACCCTCTTCAGAAAGTTGCAGGGAATATGAATCTGTGATGCATTCTGATTAATGTCCTATGATAAACTAATCTCTGATTAATGTCTTCTGATAAACTAATCTCTGATTAATTTCCTATTATAAACTGATCTCTGATTAATGTATTCTGATAAACTAATCTCTGATTAATTTCCTATGATAAACTGATCTCTGATTAATGTCTTCTGATAAACTAATCTCTGATTAATGTCCTATGATAAACTAATTAATTCATTTTCCAATAAGTTCAATACATTCAGTTGATTTCCAAACGTGAGACACATTTGATAAAAGAAACGAAAGTAACAAATTCTAACAACAGACCGTTTTTTCATGTTATAGCATCGGAAAAGTACAGAAGTCTGAATTCGCGTTTGTCTGAGTGTGTGACGTGTCTAAGCGTGTGTTTGTATCGGTCTGAATTTGTGTCTGTGTGAGCGTGTGACGTGTCTAAGCGTATACTGTATGTGTGTGTGTCTGAGAGCGTGTGACTGTCTGAACTAAGTGGATGTGTGAGTGCCTCATACAGGGCAGATGGCCGATGGGGAGCACGGAGGGCAGAGCAGGCTTATTATTTGGTTGAGGTGAGCTGCCTGCTGAACAGCTGACTACCTGGTGTTGGTTACAGCAACACTGCCTAGCCATCCAAAATGCACCACCGTGTGTGTGTGTGTGTGTGCGTGTGTGTATGTGTATGTGTATGTGTGTGTGCGTGTGTGTGTGTGTGTGTGTGTGTGTGTGTGTGTGTGTGAGTGTGTGTACCAACACAACCCACAGCTAGCGGAGTCAAAATAAATAAACAAATAATACGACACGTGACGCCAAAAAACACGCCTCGCTTCATTTGATGATCACCATGGCAACACAACCATGGCAACAGACAAAGCCGGTGCATTGGAGGAGAAGAGCAGAGAGACCTTCTGGTCTTGACGATGCGACGTTATTTGAGGTCTCTGTTGGCTGGCGCTACACTCCTCTGATACAACAGGCCGAGCACATAGAGGATTACACAGACAAATGAGAAAGGAGGAGAGATGAGGAGAGAGAGATAGATGAGAAGCATAGATAGAGAAGATAGCGAGAGACAGATACTGAGAGTAGACGCGAGAGTATGACTCTCTCGACGCGCGCTACTCTCTCTCGCTTCATCTTTCCTCTAACTCCAGAGGCTGAGCATGGAATGAGTGCTGTGAGAGGTGAGAAGATATGGGAGAGAGTGAGACGTGAGTTAGAGTGAGAGTGATGTAGAGATTGAGAGAGTGAGACAGAGAGACAGATTGTGAGAGAGTGAGACAGAGATGGTGAAGAGACGTCATCTGAACTTAATGGATGGGGGGCGCTGAAAGGAGCTTACAAAGACCAAGGCTTTACTAATTTAAAACTACAAATGACTTCTAAATTAGCTGCCATCATTCACAGGGACTCTGTCAACACTAGCGCTGCCAGTGGAGAGATATGGTCACGAACAACAGAGTGGACACACACGCCAACACGCACGGGCGCACACGGAGTACAGACAGAAGGTCATCTATTCCTTCAGGTAGGCTCCACACTAGACTCGTGGCCTGAGGGAGAGAGGGGAGTCAAGGGGATTCCGTCTGGGACAGAGCGGAACAGGAGAAAGACACAACAACCAGGAAGAGACCACTCTCTCTCTCTTTCCACCAGGTTCATACTCAAGGATACCTATATCCCATATATTCATGAATCCTTAATATTGAAGGCCCTTCCATGTTTGGTGAAGGATCCACCAAAGCAATCCTCCTGTGTTCCCCCGCCTCTGTTTTACACGATCGTCTGTTAAGAAAAGCTCTGTAGTTTGTGTATATGTTTCCTCCCCAGTGATTCTGACCTCCTCATCAATTATTACAGAGAGACAAACCTCTCTGCTTCCTACCATTACAGCACTCAACTCCAGTCCACTCCTTGACAGACATATACCTCGAACACCCGACCACAACAGAAGAGATGCACTAATCACGCTAATCGACTAGATTCAAGTTTTCTACACAATGGACATACATCAGGTACAGCCGTTACTTCATGCGCATACAGCTATGTACATTATATAGTCCTGTATGAGGCTTTACATGAGATCTACAAGAAGTATCGGGACTCAGCCCTTTCACCCCTAAAATCGACTGTACATATCCATAACAATTTCTCAGGACTTTAATCCTTGCTTTCCTATACTGACCCAACTCCTTCTCATCTTTAACCTTAAATGGGTCTTGAACTCAGACCACAGAAAAGTGTATGTTTTGGTGTTTGTGGGTGTAGGCAGCAGCTAATCGGGAACCTGGTATAAAGGATCTTCTCCACTGGCCTGTTTTTCAGACCATGACCCGGGCTTACAGCGAGACACACCCGGTCTGATAACCTGCCACAGCTTTGAGAATGTGAGTACTGCAGTAAACTCTTCCTCCCAATGTCATTCTCCATCCTTCCCTTTATCTCACTCTTTCAAGTCTCCCTCCATCCTTCTCCATCCTTCTCTATCCATCTTTCTCTATCCATCTCCATCCTTCTCTATCCATCTCCATCCTTCTCCATCCATCTCCATCCATCTCCATCCATCTCCATCCTTCTCTATCCATCTCCATCCATCTCCATCCATCTCCATCCTTCTCCATCCATCTCCATCCATCTCTATCCTTCTCCATCCATCTCCATCATTCTCTATCCATCTCCATCCATCTCCATCCTTCTCTATCCATCTCTATCCATCTCCATACATCTCCATCCATCTCCATCCTCTAACCATCTCCATCCTTCTCTATCCATCTCCATCCTTCTCTATCCATCTCCATCCTTCTCCATCCATCTCCATTCTTCTCTATCCATCTCCATCCTTCTCTCTATCCATCTCCATCCTTCTCTATCCATCTCCATCTTTCTCTATCCATCTCCATCCATCTCCATCCTTCTCTATCCATCTCCATCCTTCTCTATCCATCTCCATCCATCGCCATCCTTCTCTATCCATCTCCATCCTTCTCTATCCATCTCCATCCTTCTCTTTCTCTCAAAAGTCTCCCTCCATCCCTCTCCATTCTTTCTTTCCTCAGCAAAAGACAGGATGAATTTCTATCAAAGTGATGCCACCCCACACTGCAGCAGCAGCATCAGATATAATGGGTCATTAGTCCTCCACTAAGTGCTCTGGACAACACCTTGAGAAGAAGCTCTAGGCCCGGTCCAATATGATTACAGTTTATAACTCAGAAAACAATAGAGCACTGAGTGCTGCTGGCGCCAGCTGCCTACCCCACAGACAGCAGGCCCTGGACATCAGGACACAGACAGACAGCAGGCCCTGGACATCAGGACACAGACAGACAGCAGGCCCTGGATATCAGGACACAGACAGACACCAGGCCCTGGATATCAGGACACAGACAGACAGCAGGCCCTGGACATCAGGACACAGACAGACATCAGGCCCTGGATATCAGGACACAGACAGACAGCAGGCCCTGGACATCAGGACACAGACAGACATCAGGCCCTGGATATCAGGACACAGACAGACAGCAGGCCCTGGACATCAGGACACAGACAGACAGCAGGCCCTGGATATCAGGACACAGACAGACAGCAGGCCCTGGATATCAGGACACAGACAGACAGCAGGCCCTGGATATCAGGACACAGACAGACAGCAGGCCCTGGATATCAGGACACAGACAGACAGCAGGCCCTGGATATCAGGACACAGACAGACAGCAGGCCCTGGATATCAGGACACAGACAGACAGCAGGCCCTGGACATCAGGACACAGACAGACAGCAGGCCCAGAATATCAGGACACAGACAGACAGCAGGCCCAGGACATCTAATGCTCCAGATAGGAAGTGGCTAGGTCCCAGGGGACTAGGGGAACAGGAGATTGGTCTCTTTAAACACTTCAGGTTCTACAGTACACTCCCAGGAGACTGACGGACAGCTCTACATCTCTCGCCACAAGGCTGAGGAAACAAGCATCTTAGTTTACCCTTTCAGTGCTGAGATTTTGGGAACCTTCTGCATCTTCTGCCTACATGCTTTGAGACGTCTTAAGAGCATCAGTAGCTGCCATAGTAACCTTGGGGAATATAAACAGAAACATTGTTTGCCACACAAGTATCAGAGGCCACCGTCTACACAGGCAAATATCAAGCCCAAACAATTGAATACTCCAGAATTGTTCCTTGCCTTGTCCACAAACACTGAGTATTACCAGGCAATAAAAGAAGGAAATCCGCAATGTGACCGCATTTCCAGTTACCTGTTGGTACCACAGGTGTGTGCTGGTATTACCTGTGTGGCTCCGGCTGTGATGCAGTCACTAAAGGCATTTCTCTTGGAGAAGAAGGTGATGAGCTGCTGCCAGTGAGAGGAAGAAGAGGAGGAGGAGGAGGAAGGTGAGCCCGTATGATGTCCCGAGGGCAGTTCCTCTGAGGCGCCTCTCTTGGGCCCATGCTTCTGTTTCTGGGGCCCCCCATGCCCCTGGCCCCCGCCTCCACCGCTCCGCCCACCCCGCGGGAACTGAGTGTTGTTACCGAAGATGAAATTCATCTCAGGAGCAAGGGACCAGAGGGGGAAGAGAAATAACAATCCCCTCTTCTCTTCCTTCGGGCTGGGAATGAGAGAACAGCTGGCCTACGGAGCGATTGAACTGGCAGCCCACAGAGGAGAGAAGGGAAAGAAAATGGTGGAGGAGGTGAAGGGGGTGTGCAGGCAGGGGATAAGGTTACTCACTGCATCCTACTGAGCGGTAAGAGGGAGCAAAAGTCCAAAGGGAAGTCCATTAGATCGTGACAGACAGACAGACATCCACGTCTGCGTCCTCCGTTCCCGAACCAGGGGGACACACCAGACGCAACATGGTCAACAGCTTGGAAGGCAGTTAGGACGGAGAGAGACGGCAGTAGTGTCCCTGGATCACTGGGGCTCCTCTCTTATGTTCTTCTCTTTCAAGAACAACAGAATTGGGGGGGGGGGGGGGGGGGGGGGGGGGGGGCAGGAAATGGGCTTGATTACCTGACAAGGGAGCTGAAGGGAGCTCTCTTTCTTTCTCTGTCTATTTCCTTCTCTCTCCCTTGCTTCCAGGTTGTAAGTGGACCTCCAGTGAAGTGCAGAAGAACAGCTCAGAGACTCCCCACTCTAAACCTCCACACTCACATTAAATATAGATGGAGAGAGGATCCACCCTGAGCTCTGATCTGGTGTGGTCTTCCTCCTCCTCCTCTCCTCTCCACCCCCCCCCCCCCCCCCCACCTCACTCAGTCCCAGAAGAGTTTAACTCTATTGAAACTCATCAGAAACCTCTGTGGCCACAAGTAAGCTTTCACAGAGAGGTGTCACTGATTGGTCCTGCCACTCCAGAGCCAGTGTACAGGCGTAGATACCCTTGCTTCATCAGATACAACTACGGACGCTGTTGACGCCCCTGCCGACCCAACGCCTCACTCTCTAAAGGTGCTCGCAGGTCCAGAAGGAGCAGACAGACAGATGGAGGAGAAAGGAATAAGAAAATGCCCAAAAAGCATTTGAGAACAAGATGAGAGTGAGACGCCGCGGACACTTCCCAGGTGAGTGTGTAAAATCCAGGAAGGAAGTATTAGCCGTTAGCCAGTTCAGTCGGGTAAACGTTGGCTTCTGGTGCTGCGTGATGGTGAGTGTGTAAAATCCAGGAAGGAAGTATTAGCCGTTAGCCAGTTCAGTCGGGTAAACGTTGGCTTCTGGTGCTGCGTGATGGTGAGTGTGTAGAATCCAGGAAGGAAGTCATAGCCGTTAGCCAGTTCAGTCGGGTAAACGTTGGCTTCTGGTGCTGCGTGTGTGTGTGTGTATGCGTGTGTTCTCCTCCGCGGGTGTTTTCAGACACTGCAGCTCACTGGTCTCCCACACATACTGCCGCCACCGCCACAGAATGGAATAACAACAGCCTGCGCCCATCAGAGGGAGGAAAAGGATCAGGATCCTGGTCTGTGTGAACGCCTGTTGATTCAGTCTTCTCCTCTTCCTCGGCTTCTCACACTGAAGTAGTAGAAGCATCCTCCTCTTCCTCCTCCTCCTCTTCCTCCTCCTCTTCCTCCTCCTCCATCCAGAGCCGGAGCCAGCATATAGCAGAGCCAGTGTCACAGGTGTCAAATGAGGTAAGAGCCATTGTCACAGCTTGTGCTCCTACTCCGTGGGGACCGGCACCATGGCAACAGCTTTCACATCAAATAGAGCTGCAACCCCACCAACCAAGCTCCTCCCTCCCTACCTCCCTCCCTCCCTGCCTCCCTGTCTCCCTCCCTCCCTCCCTCCCTGCCTCCCTCCCTGCCTCCCTGCCTGCCTCCCTGCCTGCCTGCCTCCCTGCCTCCCTGCCTCCCTGCTCCTACTACTCCAAAGATATTCTCCAGAGAGAGAGTAATAATATGACTCCTCGTCCACATGTCACTGTGGCGTCTGTATCCACATGTCACTGTGGCGTCTGTATCCACATGTCACTGTGGCGTCTGTATCCACATGTCACTGTGGCGTCTGTATCCACATGTCACTGTGGCGTCTGTATCCACATGTCACTGTGGCGTCTGTATCCACATATTATCCACATATAGGCACCTACAGTCAGGTCCTGGAGATCAGATCAGCCTCACTCACTCATTCACCCACTCATTCACCCACTCATTCACCCACTCATTCACCCACTCATTCACCCACTCACTCACCCACTCACTCACCACACAGTAAATGAGATATCCAAACACCACCTGCCCATCTATGCCAAGTACCTAATACATGTGAATGACACACACTCATACAAGCCATGACACTTTCCTGTATCTGCTTGATCAGTTACATATCGTACTCAGGCAGACAGCACGGCTGTCAAAACTCTGCCTCTCTCTGCCTCCTCAGTCCAATGTGACCTTATACATGTTGGAGCAGTTCAATAATGCATTGCCAATTAAATAAGTACCCGGGGCATGTATATTTGATGAGAGTGGTGCTGTGGACCCCTGAGTGTGTCCCACAGAGTTAAAAGTATTTCTCTCAGCTCAGCTCTCCCCTGGAAGCACTGACAGAGACACAGTGCCTTTCGGAAAGTATTCAGACGCCTTGACTTTTTCCACATTTTGTGATGTTACAGACTTACTATAAAATGGATTAAATAACTAAACATGCTCATCAATCTACACACAATACCCCATAATGACAAGGTGAAAACAGGTTTTTAGAAATGTGTGCAAATGTAGAAAAAAGAAATACCTTATTTACATAAGTGTTCAGACTCTATTGCTATGAGACTAAAAATTGAGCCCAGGTTCATCCTGTTTCCATTGATCATCCTTGAGATGTTTCTACAACTTGATTGGAGTCCACCTGTGGTAAATTCAATTGATTGGACATGATTTGGAAAGGCACACACCTGTCTATATAAAGGTTCCATAGTTGACAGTGTATCTGGGGAAGGGTACCAAAAAACATTCTGCAGCATTGAAGGTCCCGAAGAACACAGTGGCCTCCATCATCCTTAAATGGAAGAAGTTTGGAACCACCAAGACTCTTCCTAGAGCTGGCTGCCCGGCCAAACTGAGCAATCGGGGAGAAGGGCCTTGGTCAGGGAGGTGACCAATAACCCGATGGTCACTCTGACAGTTCCAGAGTTCCTCTGTGGAGATGGGAGAACCTTCCAGAAGGACAACCATCTCTGCCGCACTCCACCAATCAGGCCTTTATGGTAGAGTGGACAGACAGAAGCCACTCCTCAGTAAAAGGCACATGACAGCCCACTTGGAGTTTGCCAGAAGGCACCTAATTGACTCTCAGACCATGAGAAACAAGATTCTCTGGTCTGATGAAACCAAGATTGAACTCTTTAGCCTGAATGCCAAGCGTCACATCTGGAGGAAACCTGGCACCATCCCTACAGTGAAGCATGGTGGTGGCAGCATCATGCTGTGGGGATGTTTTTCAGCGGCAGGGACTGGGAGACTGGTCAGGATTGAGGGAAAGATGAACGGAGCAAAGTACAGAGAGATCCTTGATGAAAACCTGCTCCAAAGCACTCAGGACCTCAGACTGGGGCGAAGGTTCACCTTCCAACAGGACAATGACCCTAAGCACACAGCCAAGACAACGCAGGAGTGGCTTCGGAACAAGTCTCTGAATGTCCTTGAGTGGCCCAGCCAGAGCACGTACTTGAACCCGATCGAACATCTCTGGAGAGACCTGAAAATAGCTGTGCAGCGACGCTCCCCATCCAACCTGACACAACTTGAGAGGATCTGCAGAGAAGAATGGGAGAAACTCCCCAAATACAGGTGTGCTGAGCTTGTAGCGTCATACCCAAGAAGACTCAAGGCTGTAATCGCTGCCAAAGGTGCTTCAACAAAGTACTGAGTAAAGGGTCTGAATACTTATGTAAATATGATATTTCCGTTTGTAATTTTTCATAAATGTGCTAAAATTTCAACAACAAAAAAATTCGCGTTGTCATTATGGGGTATTGTGTGTAGATTGATGAGGGGGAAAAAAATAATTTAATCAATTTTAGAATAAGGGTGTATGGTAACAAAATGTGGAAAAAGTCAAGGGGTCTGAATACTTTTCCAAACTACAGTAACCTCCATACTCAAATTAACATTCCATGATAATATCACTTGAGTTTTAGAACTAGCGTGTTTTTGAGCTGATCCATGTTGCAGATACACAACAATAATAAGGAAGCTGCCCAAATGACGTTTAAAATGAATGACTAGCGTAGTCACGGTGTAAGTACCCCAGGTAAACTGTATAACTACATTGTATCTGCGCAACCAAGACGGTGCCAACATGAATAAATGAACATGTTTTCACTGTAACCCATAGCTTTAGGATACCTTTTAGACAGACTCCAAGGCAATCCCAACAAGAGACATCTGTACTCCGGTCCGGTACAGTGCACCTGTAGGTTGACCATTGACCCTTCCACTCTCCTGTTGCATGTAACCCAGCCACACCACTGCAGCCTGTCTGGTGAATGGTCTTCTCTAAAGCTTACAGACTAATGCGTTCTTAATGGTCCACTTTACCCCGGCAACTGTACATCACTGAAGAGTCCTTTTGACACACCCTACCGGCCGTTATCACAGTTCAAAAGTCCAGTGACGGGAGGGGAGGGGAGGATGGTCTGAGCTTGGGGCTGGGCTAGTCATTAAGGGGAGGGGAGGATGGTCTGAGCTTGGGGCTGGGCTAGTCATTAAGGGGAAGGGAGGATGGTCTGAGCTTGGGGCTGGGCTAGTCATTAAGGGGAAGGGAGGATGGTCTGAGCTTGGGGCTGGGCTAGTCATTAAGGTGAGGATGGTCTGAGCTTGGGGCTGGGCTAGTCATTAAGGGGAGGGGAGGATGGTCTGAGCTTGGAGCTGGGCTAGTCATTAAGGGGAGGATGGTCTGAGCTTGGGGCTGGGCTAGTCATTAAGGGGAGGGGAGGATGGTCTGAGCTTGGGGCTGGGCTAGTCATTAAGGGGAGGGGAGGATGGTCTGAGCTTGGGGCTGGGCTAGTCATTAAGGGGAGGATGGTCTGAGCTTCGGGCTGGGCTAGTCATTAAGGGGAGGGGAGGATGGTCTGAGCTTGGGGCTGGGCTAGTCATTAAGGGGAGGATGGTCTGAGCTTGGGGCTGGGCTAGTCATTAAGGGGAGGATGGTCTGAGCTTGGGGCTGGCTAGTCATTAAGGGGAGGATGGTCTGAGCTTGGGGCTGGCTAGTCATTAAGGGGAGGATGGGTCTGAGCTTGGGTCTGGGCTAGTCATTAAGCGGAGGATGGTCTGAGCTTGGTGCTGGGCTAGTCATTACGGGGAGGGGAGGATGGTCTGAGCTTGGGGCTGGGTTAGTCATTAAGGGGAGGGGAGGATGGTCTGAGCTTGGGGCTGGCTAGTCATTAAGGGGAGGATGGTCTGAGCTTGGGGCTGGGCTAGTCATTAAGGGGAGGATGGTCTGAGCTTGGGGCTGGGCTAGTCATTAAGGGGAAGGGAGGATGGTCTGAGCTTGGGGCTGGGCTATTCATTAAGGGGAGGATGGCCTGAGCTTGGGGCTGGGCTAGTCATTAAGGGGAGGATGGTCTGAGCTTGGGGCTGGGCTAGTCATTAAGGGGAGGGGAGGATGGTCTGAGCTTGGAGCTGGGCTAGTCATTAAGGGGAGGATGGTCTGAGCTTGGGGCTGGGCTAGTCATTAAGGGGAGGGGAGGATGGTCTGAGCTTGGGGCTGGGCTAGTCATTAAGGGGAGGGGAGGATGGTCTGAGCTTGGGGCTGGGCTAGTCCTTAAGGGGAGGATGGTCTGAGCTTCGGGCTGGGCTAGTCATTAAGGGGAGGGGAGGATGGTCTGAGCTTGGGGCTGGGCTAGTCATTAAGGGGAGGATGGTCTGAGCTTGGGGCTGGGCTAGTCATTAAGGGGAGGATGGTCTGAGCTTGGGGCTGGCTAGTCATTAAGGGGAGGATGGTCTGAGCTTGGGTCTGGGCTAGTCATTAAGCGGAGGATGGTCTGAGCTTGGTGCTGGGCTAGTCATTACGGGGAGGGGAGGATGGTCTGAGCTTGGGGCTGGGTTAGTCATTAAGGGGAGGGGAGGATGGTCTGAGCTTGGGGCTGGCTAGTCATTAAGGGGAGGATGGTCTGAGCTTGGGGCTGGGCTAGTCATTAAGGGGAGGATGGTCTGAGCTTGGGGCTGGGCTAGTCATTAAGGGGAAGGGAGGATGGTCTGAGCTTGGGGCTGGGCTATTCATTAAGGGGAGGATGGCCTGAGCTTGGGGCTGGGCTAGTCATTAAGGGGAGGAGAGGATGGCCTGAGCTTGGGGCTGGGCTAGTCATTAAGGGGAGGGGAGGATGGTCTGAGCTTGGGGCTGGGCTAGTCATTAAGGGGAGGATGGTCTGAGCTTGGGGCTGGGCTAGTCATTAAGGGGAGGATGGTCTGAGCTTGGGGCTGGGCTAGTCATTAAGGGGAGGATGGTCTGAGCTTGGGGCTGGCCTAGTCATTAAGGGAAGGATGCCCTGAACTTGGGGCTGGGCTAGTCATTAAGGGGAGGATGGTCTGAGCTTGGGGCTGGGCTAGTCATTAAGGGGAGGATGGTCTGAGCTTGGGGCTGGGCTAGTCATTAAGGGGAGGGGGAGGATGGTCTGAGCTTAGGGCTGGGCTAGTCATTAAGGGGAGGATGGTCTGAGCTTGGGGCTGGGCTAGTCATTAAGGGGAGGATGGTCTGAGCTTGGGGCTGGGCTAGTCATTAAGGGGAGGATGGACTGAGCTTGGGGCTGGGCTAGTCATTAAGGGGAGGGGAGGATGGTCTGAGCTTGGGGCTGGGCTAGTCATTAAGGGGAGGATGGTCTGAGCTTGGGGGCTGGGCTAGTCATTAAGGGGAAGGGAGGATGGTCTGAGCTTGGGGCTGGGCTATTCATTAAGGGGAGTATGGTCTGAGCTTGGGGCTGGGCTAGTCATTAAGGGGAGGGGAGGATGGTCTGAGCTTGGAGCTGGGCTAGTCATTAAGGGGAGGATGGTCTGAGCTTGGGGCTGGGCTAGTCATTAAGGGGAGGGGAGGATGGTCTGAGCTTGGGGCTGGGTTAGTCATTAAGGGGAGGGGAGGATGGTCTGAGCTTGGGGCTGGCTAGTCATTAAGGGGAGGATGGTCTGAGCTTGGGGCTGGGCTAGTCATTAAGGGGAAGGGAGGATGGTCTGAGCTTGGGGCTGGGCTATTCATTAAGGGGAGGATGGGCTGAGCTTGGGGCTGGGCTAGTCATTAAGGGGAGGGGGAGGATGGTCTGAGCTTGGAGCTGGGCTAGTCATTAAGGGGAGGATGGTCTGAGCTTGGGGCTGGGCTAGTCATTAAGGGGAGGGGAGGATGGTCTGAGCTTGGGGCTGGGCTAGTCATTAAGGGGAGGGGAGGATGGTCTGAGCTTGGGGCTGGGCTAGTCATTAAGGGGAGGGGAGGATGGTCTGAGCTTGGGGCTGGGCTAGTCATTAAGGGGAGGATGGTCTGAGCTTGGGGCTGGGCTAGTCATTAAGGGGAGGGGAGGATGGTCTGAGCTTGGGGCTGGCTAGTCATTAAGGGGAGGATGGTCTGAGCTTGGGTCTGGGCTAGTCATTAAGCGGAGGATGGTCTGAGCTTGGTGCTGGGCTAGTCATTACGGGGAGGGGAGGATGGTCTGAGCTTGGGGCTGGGTTAGTCATTAAGGGGAGGGGAGGATGGTCTGAGCTTGGGGCTGGCTAGTCATTAAGGGGAGGATGGTCTGAGCTTGGGGCTGGGCTAGTCATTAAGGGGAGGATGGTCTGAGCTTGGGGCTGGGCTAGTCATTAAGGGGAAGGGAGGATGGTCTGAGCTTGGGGCTGGGCTATTCATTAAGGGGAGGATGGCCTGAGCTTGGGGCTGGGCTAGTCATTAAGGGGAGGATGGTCTGAGCTTGGGGCTGGGCTAGTCATTAAGGGGAGGGGAGGATGGTCTGAGCTTGGAGCTGGGCTAGTCATTAAGGGGAGGATGGTCTGAGCTTGGGGCTGGGCTAGTCATTAAGGGGAGGGGAGGATGGTCTGAGCTTGGGGCTGGGCTAGTCATTAAGGGGAGGGGAGGATGGTCTGAGCTTGGGGGCTGGGCTAGTCCTTAAGGGGAGGATGGTCTGAGCTTCGGGCTGGGCTAGTCATTAAGGGGAGGGGAGGATGGTCTGAGCTTGGGGCTGGGCTAGTCATTAAGGGGAGGATGGTCTGAGCTTGGGGCTGGGCTAGTCATTAAGGGGAGGATGGTCTGAGCTTGGGGCTGGCTAGTCATTAAGGGGAGGATGGTCTGAGCTTGGGTCTGGGCTAGTCATTAAGCGGAGGATGGTCTGAGCTTGGTGCTGGGCTAGTCATTACGGGGAGGGGGAGGATGGTCTGAGCTTGGGGCTGGGTTAGTCATTAAGGGGAGGGGAGGATGGTCTGAGCTTGGGGCTGGCTAGTCATTAAGGGGAGGATGGTCTGAGCTTGGGGCTGGGCTAGTCATTAAGGGGAGGATGGTCTGAGCTTGGGGCTGGGCTAGTCATTAAGGGGAAGGGAGGATGGTCTGAGCTTGGGGCTGGGCTATTCATTAAGGGGAGGATGGCCTGAGCTTGGGGCTGGGCTAGTCATTAAGGGGAGGAGAGGATGGCCTGAGCTTGGGGCTGGGCTAGTCATTAAGGGGAGGGGAGGATGGTCTGAGCTTGGGGCTGGGCTAGTCATTAAGGGGAGGATGGTCTGAGCTTGGGGCTGGGCTAGTCATTAAGGGGAGGATGGTCTGAGCTTGGGGCTGGGCTAGTCATTAAGGGGAGGATGGTCTGAGCTTGGGGCTGGCCTAGTCATTAAGGGGAGGATGGCCTGAGCTTGGGGCTGGGCTAGTCATTAAGGGGAGGATGGTCTGAGCTTGGGGCTGGGCTAGTCATTAAGGGGAGGATGGTCTGAGCTTGGGGCTGGGCTAGTCATTAAGGGGAGGGGAGGATGGTCTGAGCTTAGGGCTGGGCTAGTCATTAAGGGGAGGATGGTCTGAGCTTGGGGCTGGGCTAGTCATTAAGGGGAGGATGGTCTGAGCTTGGGGCTGGGCTAGTCATTAAGGGGAGGATGGACTGAGCTTGGGGCTGGGCTAGTCATTAAGGGGAGGGGAGGATGGTCTGAGCTTGGGGCTGGGCTAGTCATTAAGGGGAGGATGGTCTGAGCTTGGGGCTGGGCTAGTCATTAAGGGGAAGGGAGGATGGTCTGAGCTTGGGGCTGGGCTATTCATTAAGGGGAGGATGGTCTGAGCTTGGGGCTGGGCTAGTCATTAAGGGGAGGGGAGGATGGTCTGAGCTTGGAGCTGGGCTAGTCATTAAGGGGAGGATGGTCTGAGCTTGGGGCTGGGCTAGTCATTAAGGGGAGGGTAGGATGGTCTGAGCTTGGGGCTGGGTTAGTCATTAAGGGGAGGGGAGGATGGTCTGAGCTTGGGGCTGGCTAGTCATTAAGGGGGAGGATGGTCTGAGCTTGGGGCTGGGCTAGTCATTAAGGGGAAGGGAGGATGGTCTGAGCTTGGGGCTGGGCTATTCATTAAGGGGAGGATGGTCTGAGCTTGGGGCTGGGCTAGTCATTAAGGGGAGGGGAGGATGGTCTGAGCTTGGAGCTGGGCTAGTCATTAAGGGGAGGATGGTCTGAGCTTGGGGCTGGGCTAGTCATTAAGGGGAGGGGAGGATGGTCTGAGCTTGGGGCTGGGCTAGTCATTAAGGGGAGGGGAGGATGGTCTGAGCTTGGGGCTGGGGCTAGTCATTAAGGGGAGGGGAGGATGGTCTGAGCTTGGGGCTGGGCTAGTCATTAAGGGGAGTATGGTCTGAGCTTCGGGCTGGGCTAGTCATTAAGGGGAGGGGAGGATGGTCTGAGCTTGGGGCTGGGCTAGTCATTAAGGGGAGGATGGTCTGAGCTTGGGGCTGGGCTAGTCATTAAGGGGAGGATGGTCTGAGCTTGGGGCTGGCTAGTCATTAAGGGGAGGATGGTCTGAGCTTGGGTCTGGGCTAGTCATTAAGCGGAGGATGGTCTGAGCTTGGTGCTGGGCTAGTCATTACGGGGAGGGGAGGATGGTCTGAGCTTGGGGCTGGGTTAGTCATTAAGGGGAGGGGAGGATGGTCTGAGCTTGGGGCTGGCTATTCATTAAGGGGAGGATGGCCTGAGCTTGGGGCTGGGCTAGTCATTAAGGGGAGGATGGTCTGAGCTTGGGGCTGGGCTAGTCATTAAGGGGAGGGGAGGATGGTCTGAGCTTGGAGCTGGGCTAGTCATTAAGGGGAGGATGGTCTGAGCTTGGGGCTGGGCTAGTCATTAAGGGGAGGGGAGGATGGTCTGAGCTTGGGGCTGGGCTAGTCATTAAGGGGAGGGGAGGATGGTCTGAGCTTGGGGCTGGGCTAGTCCTTAAGGGGAGGATGGTCTGAGCTTCGGGCTGGGCTAGTCATTAAGGGGAGGGGAGGATGGTCTGAGCTTGGGGCTGGGCTAGTCATTAAGGGGAGGATGGTCTGAGCTTGGGGCTGGGCTAGTCATTAAGGGGAGGATGGTCTGAGCTTGGGGCTGGCTAGTCATTAAGGGGAGGATGGTCTGAGCTTGGGTCTGGGCTAGTCATTAAGCGGAGGATGGTCTGAGCTTGGTGCTGGGCTAGTCATTACGGGGAGGGGAGGATGGTCTGAGCTTGGGGCTGGGTTAGTCATTAAGGGGAGGGGAGGATGGTCTGAGCTTGGGGCTGGCTAGTCATTAAGGGGAGGATGGTCTGAGCTTGGGGCTGGGCTAGTCATTAAGGGGAGGATGGTCTGAGCTTGGGGCTGGGCTAGTCATTAAGGGGAAGGGAGGATGGTCTGAGCTTGGGGCTGGGCTATTCATTAAGGGGAGGATGGCCTGAGCTTGGGGCTGGGCTAGTCATTAAGGGGAGGAGAGGATGGCCTGAGCTTGGGGCTGGGCTAGTCATTAAGGGGAGGGGAGGATGGTCTGAGCTTGGGGCTGGGCTAGTCATTAAGGGGAGGATGGTCTGAGCTTGGGGCTGGGCTAGTCATTAAGGGGGAGGATGGTCTGAGCTTGGGGCTGGGCTAGTCATTAAGGGGAGGATGGTCTGAGCTTGGGGCTGGGCTAGTCATTAAGGGGAGGATGTTCTGAGCTTGGGGCTGGCCTAGTCATTAAGGGGAGGATGGCCTGAGCTTGGGGCTGGGCTAGTCATTAAGGGGAGGATGGTCTGAGCTTGGGGCTGGGCTAGTCATTAAGGGGAGGATGGTCTGAGCTTGGGGCTGGGCTAGTCATTAAGGGGAGGGGAGGATGGTCTGAGCTTAGGGCTGGGCTAGTCATTAAGGGGAGGATGGTCTGAGCTTGGGGCTGGGCTAGTCATTAAGGGAGGATGGTCTGAGCTTGGGGCTGGGCTAGTCATTAAGGGGAGGATGGTCTGAGCTTGGGGCTGGGCTAGTCATTAAGGGGAGGATGGACTGAGCTTGGGGCTGGGCTAGTCATTAAGGGGAGGGGAGGATGGTCTGAGCTTGGGGCTGGGCTAGTCATTAAGGGGAGGATGGTCTGAGCTTGGGGCTGGGCTAGTCATTAAGGGGAGGGGAGGATGGTCTGAGCTTGGGGCTGGGCTACTCATTAAGGGGAGGATGGTCTGAGCTTGGGGCTGGGCTAGTCATTAAGGGAGGATGGTCTGAGCTTGGGGCTGGGCTAGTCATTAAGGGGAGGATGATCTGAGCTTGGGGCTGGGCTAGTCATTAAGGAGAGGATGGTCTGAGCTTGGGGCTGGGCTAGTCATTAAGGGGAGGATGGTCTGAGCTTGGGGCTGGGCTAGTCATTAAGGGGAGGATGGTCTGAGCTTGGGGCTGGGCTAGTCATTAAGGGGAGGATGGTCTGAGCTTGGGGCTGGGCTAGTCATTAAGGGGAGGGGAGGATGGTCTGAGCTTGGGGCTGGGCTAGTCATTAAGGGGAGGATGGTCTGAGCTTGGGGCTGGGTTAGTCATTAAGGGGAGGATGGTCTGAGCTTGGGGCTGGGCTAGTCATTAAGGGGAGGGGAGGATGGTCTGAGCTTGGGGCTGGGCTAGTCATTAAGGGGAGGGGAGGATGGTCTGAGCTTGGGGCTGGGCTAGTCATTAAGGGGAGGATGGTCTGAGCTTGGAGCTGGGCTAGTCATTAAGGGGAGGATGGTCTGAGCTTGGGGCTGGGCTAGTCATTAAGGGGAGGGGAGGATGGTCTGAGCTTGGGGCTGGGTTAGTCATTAAGGGGAGGGGAGGATGGTCTGAGCTTGGGGCTGGCTAGTCATTAAGGGGAGGATGGTCTGAGCTTGGGGCTGGGCTAGTCATTAAGGGGAGGATGGTCTGAGCTTGGGGCTGGGCTAGTCATTAAGGGGAAGGGAGGATGGTCTGAGCTTGGGGCTGGGCTAGTCATTAAGGGGAGGATGGTCTGAGCTTGGGGCTGGGCTAGTCATTAAGGGGAGGATGGTCTGAGCTTGGGGCTGGGCTATTCATTAAGGGGAGGATGGCCTGAGCTTGGGGCTGGGCTAGTCATTAAGGGGAGGATGGTCTGAGCTTGGGGCTGGGCTAGTCATTAAGGGGAAGGGAGGATGGTCTGAGCTTGGGGCTGGGCTAGTCATTAAGGGGAGGATGGTCTGAGCTTGGGGCTGGGCTAGTCATTAAGGGGAGGATGGTCTGAGCTTGGGGCTGGGCTATTCATTAAGGGGAGGATGGCCTGAGCTTGGGGCTGGGCTAGTCATTAAGGGGAGGATGGTCTGCGCTTGGGGCTGGGCTAGTCATTAAGGGTAGGATGGTCTGAGCTTGAGGCTGGGATAGTCATTAATCCTTCAGTATCTCTTTATCTTTTTTCTCCCTCTCATTCTCTCTGTTTCTCTTGCTCTGTCTCTCACACACACACACACACACACACACACACACAGACACACACACACACACACAATGGGTTTAGGATAGCATTGGGTTAATGAGTTGCCATCCTAATCTGTGTTAGGAACTCAACATCTCACTAATAGAGATTCCCCATAAAGTTGACATTGAACTTCCCTCAGACTGGAAGTTAATGAACAACACCACCATATCCCATTCACCAACATAAGAACAGTTGAATATGTGGTTAATATCAGAAAAAGGCCATGCCAGGCAGGCTTACTATTGTCTACCTTTACAGTTATATTTTACTAATCACCTTTAGTAATCAAACTGCCTACTATAACGCATTTCAAATATTCGTTTAGGTTTCTTTATCATTCTTTCCTCGTCTCCTACTAAGTACATTTAGCATGAAGTCTATAATGTCGCCTCCCTCTGTTGCTAAGTACGTTTAGCATGAAGGCTATACTGTCGCCTCCCTCTGTTGGTAAGTACGTTTAGCATGGCTATACTGTCGCCTCCCTCTGTTGCTAAGTACGTTTAGCATGAAGTCTATACTGTCGCCTCCCTCTGTTGCTAAGTACGTTTAGCATGAAGGCTATACTGTCGCCTCCCTCTGTTGCTAAGTACGTTTAGCATGAAGGCTATACTGTCGCCTCCCTCTGTTGCTAAGTACGTTTAGCATGAAGGCTATACTGTCGCCTCCCTCTGTTGCTAAGTATGTTTAGCATGAAGGCTATACTGTCCTGTGTGCTGTGACACCTTCAAGAATCCTGTCCTCCTGTCGTGTAGCCACAGCTTCTGTAAAGCCTGTCTGCAGGACTATCGGAAAGGAAAATAAACTTGGGAATGTCAGTGTTTGCAGGAGAATGATCATCAAGACACGAGCCTCCATGTAACCTGGTTTTAAAGAACCTGTGTGAGGCCTTCTCACAGGAGAGAAGTCAGAGAGCGTCTGAGCTGCTCTGCAGTCTGCATGGAGAGAAACTCAAGCTCTTCTGTCTGGAGGATAAACAGCCTGTCTGTTTCGTGTGTCAGACTTCCGGAAAACACACAAACCACAAGTTCTGTCCCATAGATGAAGCTGCACAGGATTATAAGGAGGAACTCAAGACTGTACTGAGACCCTTAAGGGAGAAGCTGAAGATCTTTAATGCAGTTAAAGTAACGTGTGATAAAACAGCAGAGCACATTAAGAGCCACACCCAGACCACATAAAAGCAGATTAAGGAGGAGTTTGAGATGCTTCAACAGTTTCTGCAAGATGAAGAGGCAGCCAGGATAGCTTCTCTGAGGGAGGAAGAGGAGCAGAAGAGTCAGATGATGAAGAAGAAGAAGAAGAAGATTGAGGAGATGAATAAAGAGATATCATCCCTTTCAGACACAATCAGAGCTGCAGAGGAGGAGCAGGGAGCTGAAGACATCACATTTCTACAGAACTACAAGGCCACCGTTGGTAGAGCCAAGTGCACACTGCCGGATCCAGAAAGGTTCTCAAGAGCGCTGATAGACGTGGCCAAACACCTGGGCGACCTGAAGTTCGGAGTCTGGGAGAAGATGCAGGAGATGGTTCAGTACAGTCCTTTCATTCTGGACCCCAACACCGCATCCCCAGATCTCATCCTGTCTGATGATCTGACCAGTGTGAGAGCCAGTAAGACACAACAGCTTCCTGACAACCCAGAGAGGTTTGATCACTTTAATTTCGTTCTGGGATCAGAAGGCTTTAACTCAGGGACACATAGCTGGGACGTTAAGGTTGGAGACAGTGGATACTGGATTGTAGGATTTATCTCAGAGTCTGTCTCCGGGAAGAACGGTGCTTTCTATAATAGAATATGGGCAATACAGTATTGTAATGGTGAATACAAAGCACGACCGTCAAGCACTCTCCTCTCAGTGACACAGAAAGCCAAGAGGATCAGAGTGCAGCTGGACTGGGACAGAGAAAGGCTGTCATTCTCTGACTCCGATAACAACATACACATACACATACTTTCACTAAAGGGAGTATCTCCATTCTTTTACAATGTTGATACTTCAGCTAATATGAAGATCTTACCAATTAAAGTATCTGTAACAGTGGAACAGCACAGTCAGAACTGATACCACCTCTGTCTGTAACAGTGGAACAGCACAGTCAGAGCAGATACCACCTCTGGCTGTAACAGTGGAACAGCACAGTCACAACAGATACCACCTCTGTCTGTAACAGTGGAACAGCACAGTCAGAACAGATACCACCTCTGTCTGTAACAGTGGAACAGCACAGTCAGAGCAGATACCACCTCTGTCTGTAACAGTGGAACAGCACAGTCAGAACAGATACCACCTCTGTCTGTAACAGTGGAACAGCACAGTCAGAACAGATACCACCTCTGTCTGTAACAGTGGAACAGCACAGTCACAACAGATACCACCTCTGTCTGTAACAGTGGAACAGCACAGTCAGAACAGATACCACCTCTGTCTGTGACAGTGGAACAGCACAGTCAGAACAGATACCACCTCTGTCTGTAACAGTGGAACAGCACAGTCAGAGCAGATACCACCTCTGTCTGATTAGACAAATTATGTTATTACTCAGTGTTATATTCTCTCTATTGTCCGTCATTGTTTAATAAAGAAAATGATAAGGAGAGATAAGGATGGATGACAGGCCGCAGTAGTCTCTCTTACAATCGTACAGTCTTACCTTCTAGGATAACCATGTCTAACACGGAGATAACTAAACCTTAGCTCACATGGCTCTACATTAACCCAGATGAGCTTATGGAGATGTTATTACCACTGTAAGTCTGCAACTTAGCACTTACACTAGTTAAAACAGTTCAAATAAACAAACAACAGATACATCTGAACCTATTTGTGCCGTATTGCTGTTTTTATTTTACCTTAATTTTACCAGGTTAGTCTCGTTGAGATAAAAATCGTGGGGGGCTTTAATCAATAGCTGAGCACTACAAGGAAAGGGTGGCAGCGAACGTCCCCTGTCACCACCACTGACTGTACTGTGGCTGCCAGCATCAAGGCTACATGACAGAGCTGACTAACCAAGGAGAGAGCGATGAGACGTCTTATTAGATGGACGGAGGAGGAGGAGAGCAGGAGGAAGGCCAGCCATCAGATCAGAGCTCAGGATGGATTCTCTCCCTCTTTAATAAAGACCTACTGTCATCAGGGTCCCTGTTTGCATGGGCTCATATACCCCCCCCCCCCCCCCCTCAAAAATATGAATCAAAGGGGACTTGAGAATAGCCGTGCCCATGCTATAGTGGTGGGATTACTGTATTCACACAGAGTGTTATGGCTTCGTGGAGAGGCTTAGTACCATGCACTTATTCACTGATAATATTGCTGGGGTGCTAAAATATACTGAACAAAAATATAATGTAAAGTGTTGGTCCCATGTTTCATGAGCTGAAATAAAAGATCCAAGAAATGTTCAATACGCACAGAAATGTCTCTCAAATTTTGTGCACAAATGTGTTTATATCCCTGTTAGTGAGCATTTCTCCTTCGCCAAGATAATCCATCCACCTGACAGGTGTGGCATATCAAGAAGCTGATTAAACAGCATGATCATTACACAGGTGCACCTTGTGCTGGGGACAATAAAAGGCCACTCTTTTGTCACACAACACAAATGCCACAGATGTCTCAAGTTTTGAGGGCAAAAGGGGGAGGGGTGCAACTCAATATTAGGAAGGTGTTCCCAATGTTGGTTATACTCAGTGTGTACTGTAATGTAAAGCCTTAATACAGTAAATGTACTGGATAATAATATACTGTAATGTAAAGCCTTAATACAGTAAATGTACTGGATAATAACATACTGTAATGTAAAGCCTTAATACAGTACATATACCGGATAATAACATACTGTAATGTAAAGCCTTAATACAGTAAATGTACTGGATAATAACATACTGTAATGTAAAGCCTTAATACAGTACATATCCCAGATAATAACATACTGTAATGTAAAGCCTTAATACAGTAAATGTACTGGATAATAATATACTGTAAAGCCTGTTATACTCGGACAGGACAAACCGACTCCAATAAACTGAAACTACATTTTCACTAAAATAACCAAAGCACCACTCCTTACTTCACTCAATCAACGCAAACACATCAATTGAGCACGTAAAACATAACACATGAACTGACGTCTCTCTCACGTCTTAATCAATCACCATTTGAAGCGTGACGTCGTCGTTGGCACAACCACTGAAGCACAGGAACACAATCCAGCTCCATTCAAGCCTATCTTCTTCCTGCTTCTACTACTGGTTCATTACCATCAACATCTCTCAGAGACACACAGTGTAGCGGGCAGACAGACAGACAGACAGACAGACAGACAGGGACACTGAACAGGGTTCATTTGTCTCTAGTTCTACTCTAAAAATCACTCAGAGGGCTATTTACTTCCTAACTTACTGCAGCTCAGCTCACGTAGCATTGCAGCACAGCACAGCTCTGTCTGTCTGGCTGTCAGTCTGTCTGTCCAGCAGCATCACACCCACAGTAAGGAGTAGGCTGAGATCTCTGTGCTATGGTAGCGTTGTGTTACTGTGGAAGGAGTGGGATGTGTGTGAGTGCGTAGAGTCTGAATGTAGTGGTACTCCTGGGGTTTAATGTGGGTGTATGCTGTTATAACACCAGAGAGAGAGAGCGTTCTCATGTTGTCGGAGGTGAGAGCAGGAAAGGGAGCTAAAACAATGCATCGTCATTACGCCAAAACAGATCTGCTTTACATTTAGAAAAGGCATTATCATTCCTATAAGACTATGACAACATTGTTTCCAACAACAAACATACCTGCTGCTTAAAAGAAGCAGTAGTCTTTTAGAGCAAGAAACAGACTTTCTAAACACTAAACCTGATCAATGTCTCCAAATCAGCTCCATTCAAAACAATCAATAAACCTGATCAATGTCTCCAAATCAACTCCATACAAAACAATCAACAAACCTGATCAACGTCTCCAAATCAACTCCATACAAAACAATCAACAAACCTGATCAATGTCTCCAAATCAACTCCATACAAAACAATCAACAAACCTGATCAACGTCTCCAAATCAGCTCCATTCAAAACAATCAATAAACCGGATCAACGTCTCCAAATCAACTCCATACAAAACAATCAATAAACCTGATCAATGTCTCCAAATCAACTCCATACAAAACAATCAACAAACCTGATCAACGTCTCCAAATCAACTCCATACAAAACAATCAACAAACCTGATCAACGTCTCCAAATCAACTCCATACAAAACAATCAATAAACCTGATCAACGTCTCCAAATCAACTCCATACAAAACAATCAATAAACCTGATCAACGTCTCCAAATCAACTCCATACAAAACAAATCAACAAACCTAGCTTCATATATAAACAGTAAACAAATCCTACAAACACCGTAAAAACAGACTTCACAGCGGTTGAAAACACAGACAGAAGTCTGGTCTGGAAATGTTCACTGCATATAGACTAAGAGGACAGTGAACACTATGGAGAGTTCATCAGCTTAGAGTGGCAGTTAATGACAGACCCACTGCCTACCTACCAACAATCCATTACAGTAGATACATCCCCCCTACCTACCAGTAAGGTCTGCTGCAGTCCCTTGGTTTTCCTCATGGTCTTGATTAGGCGCCAGCCCATCTTTTTGGCGTACCACACTGAGGCCAACATGTCCCCCTCTGGTACGGCTCGTGCTAACACTGACACACAAACACGACACACACACACACACACACCTCCTGATCGAGGGTCTGTCTGTGGGGACCTGAAAGGGGTCTGTCGAGGAGCAGAGCTCAGGAGATGCTAACTTGTCCCCCTGCGTAGCACAACACAGCCAGCATGTCACCGCCAAGCAGTACGCTGAGCCACCAGCCGGAGTGTGTGTGTGTGTGTGGCAGGTACGAGATAAGGAACCGCTGCTCTGTCTGCTTCCAGCGGCATACACACACACACACACACACACACACACACACACACACACACACACACACACACACACACACACACACACAGACAGACAGGACGCTAAGGGACAGTGATCAGAGACGAGTGGTTGGCAGGGGAGGGAGACAGCAGGTTTAGAGGACTCTAAATTTCCGTCTGCTGAATCATTCACTTAGAGAGAGAGAGAGGGAGGGGAGAGAGAGAGGGGAGAGAGAGAGAGAGAGAGAGGAGGGGGAGAGAGAGAAAGAGAGAGAGAGGAAGGCGGAGATGTGGATAATTTATCACCGTTGTCTCACTCGCCCCCCACCCCATCCCTCCCTCCACCCCCATCACCACATTCTGTCCCTCCCCTCTTCCCCTCTCCTCCCCTCTCCTCCCCTCTTCCCCTCTCCTCCCCTCCCCTCCCCTCTCCTTCCTCCTCTCTCAGGCAGGAGAGACCCTCCACTAAGTCATACTAGAGACCCTCCACTAAGCCATACTAGAGACCCTCCACTAAGCCATACTAGAGACCCTCCACTAAGTCATACTAGAGACCCTCCACTAAGTCATACTAGAGACCCTCCACTAAGTCATACTAGAGAGTCCCTCCACTAAGTCATACTAGAGAGTCCCTCCACTAAGTCATACTAGAGAGTCCCTCCACTAAGTCATACTAGAGAGCCCCTCCACTAAGTCATACTAGAGAGTCCCTCCACTAAGTCATACTAGAGAGTCCCTCCACTAAGTCATACTAGAGAGCCCCTCCACTAAGCCATACTAGAGAGTCCCTCCACTAAGTCATACTAGAGAGTCCCTCCACTAAGCCATACTAGAGAGTCCCTCCACTAAGCCATACTAGAGAGTCCCTCCACTAAGTCATACTAGAGAGTCCCTCCACTAAGTCATACTAGAGACCCTCCACTAAGTCATACTAGAGAGTCCCTCCACTAAGTCATACTAGAGACCCTCCACTAAGTCATACTAGAGACCCTCCACTAAGTCATACTAGAGAGTCCCTCCACTAAGCCATACTAGAGACCCTCCACTAAGTCATACTAGAGACCCTCCACTAAGTCATACTAGAGTCCCTCCACTAAGTCATACTAGAGAGCCTCCACTAAGTCATACTAG